ATTGTTTTAAAGTTTTGGAGGTTCAAATAACAAGTAGTAAGAAGACCAAGTGAAGGAACAGCTCTTACCAGTGAATGAACACCCAGTAAAGGAACACTTAATTTTGGTTATTTTTTAATGCTCTTTATGAATTTATATGCCATACAAATATCTAAAAACAAGCCTATTCTTGAAATTATAACATACAAATACTTGGAAAATGTTAACTTTTTTTTTATAATCATGAATTGAAAATTAAAGTGTCAACATATTAACACATACTGTTCATTAACTGGGAAATCTATGCCCAGTAAAGGATTGTGCCTGTTCCTTTACTGGTTAGAAGTTGTTTTTTGTATTTTAAGCATACTATTGATGCAAAACATCACTAAAGGTACAAGAAAATTAAAGTTTTTCTTTCATTTTCATTAACTTATAAAAAACCCAGTAAAGGAACACTTGTTCCTTCACTGGTTTTTCATCGTTTGGTGATCCGGTGAATAAACACCCCCTTATCTCAGTACTTGATTATGCTATGGTGCTTAAAAAAAATAAAACGTAACTTCAATAACTATATTTTGAATTCTTATTTTCACAGTGAGAAAAATAAAACTGTTACATGCAATTAATTCTACTTCAAACGTATAAATACAAACACTCACCTTATAATTTTTTCAAAGAAACAAGGTGTTGCAGAGATAATAACAAATTTAAAAAATTTTCCAGAGAAATCTATGTGACCAGGTAGTCCAAAACATTGTTAGGTGACTTCCTATTATTTGGCAGTAAGCTATTGTTACCAATCAATCTAAAGAAAAACTTTCAAATTCTTATTTTTAATCAATATATATGAAATGTTCCTTCACTGGTTGGTTTACCCTATATCCGACTACTTAAAGCCCCAGTTCGCCTGAACCAGAAAAATATGACAAATAAATTAAATTTCATGAACACCGTTCAACATTCATGATACATTGAATATTTCTTTTTTCTACTAGATATTTTTTTTCTTCAAGATTTACTCTCCTGATGACCTGTTGGAGAACAATGTCCAACACCATGTATAGTACCGACAGTACTCCAAGAAACTAAGACAAAAATTAAAGTATAAAAACAAAATTATAAGCAAAATAAAAGTCATTTGATTATTAGTTTTAACCTCACTAAGCTAATTACCAAACAGAAGTAGCAAATTGCTGTGATTTTTTATACCTTATAATTTTTACATTTTTTTAAATCTTAATAACTGTACCAAATGTTTGTTTGAAATTAGTAAAAAGAAGTTTATGAAAATTCTATCTGCAGTCTATGTCCAATTTTTTTTTTCTGTAAATGAGCATGTGCCAGTATCTGGCCAGTCTCATGTGTCTATTTTCTTCAACAGCTGGGTTAGAAAAAATATTTTCTAGCTTTGGATTTGTTCAATCCAAGCTGTGCTGCTGACAGGCTAAACGTGGGTGGTTTTCGTGGTTAACCCACACAAAAAAATCTGCATGAATCAAAAATCATAAATCTGAAGGGGAAAAAATTATGGCTTTTGAGAATAACTGTAATAATCTGCTTAAAACCAAATTTTCTAGAGCTATGAAATTTTGTTGTTTGCAACTAATCTATGATAATTTTTTCTACCTTTTGCGTAATTTTAGAAGGAATTAATAAAAAACCAAAACAATTTGATTGAAACGACTGTATTCTTGTATGGAAATACTGTATTGTTTGTATGGAAATTAAATCATCATCAAAATTAAATAAATGCTGAACATTTTGTTCTTTCATAAACAACACATCTTTCCAAGAAATAAACAAAGAGGAATTTCATTTTTTTCTAGCTTTCAGAAAATTAACTTTCTCTCTTTATACTGTAAACTTAAATCTGTAATTTTGTGAGGGAAAGTTTTTAGTGCTTAAGTTTAGGATGCTAAAAAGGCAATAAGAGACTAATTTAACTTTAAGTTGCAACATTGGAACAATTTTGTATTGAAGTATAAAGTTTCAATTTTCAATATAGTACTGATATCTAATTGTTACTTTTTTTATTTAATTATAAATTCATGCATAATTTTATTAATATTACATACCTGTGTAGAATTAAGCTGTATGTGCATCTTAAAATTGTGCTGAATCAAGTTTTGTAAACGTCAACTAGTAGATATTTTTGTGTTTATTATTTTTTTAAATTTATTTTTTAAACCC